TTGGTTCCATAATTTTTCGTTTTTTCAATTTTTCGATTTGCGATTTTTCAATTTTGCAATTTTTTCGATATAATAATATTTCTCCATTTTTTTGTTTCCTTAATTTTTCAAGCGCTTGATTTCCATTTTTCATTGTCCCGATTTTTTAATTTCCAGTTTCTGGACTTTATATAAAAATTTTTTTTTCTTTCATTCCATTTATTTTTTCGATGTTTCTTTCGATTTACTGATTTTTCGTTTACTCAAATCCCCATATGTTCAATGTTGGATTTTTTATTTATTCCCCGAATTTCCAATTTTTAAATTTATCAGTTTTGCAGTTTTTGGATTTCTCGGTTATCCGATTTTCCGATTTCTTTAATTTTCAATATTTAGTTTTTTCGATTTTGCACTTTTCTGATTTTTAAGTTTCCCAAATTTGATTCTTCAGATTTTTTTCAATTTATAAAAAAATTAATTGAAAAACGAAAAATTGCAAATAGAATAACTGAATAAACGAAAAATCGGAACACTGAAAAACTAAAAATCGAAAAAGTCAATGAGTCGAAAAATTGGAAAACCCAAAAATTGCAAAATTGTCAAAATTGTCGAAAAAACATTAAAATTGTAACATTGAAGATTGAAAAATTGAAAAACTAAATCTCCAGAAACTAAAAAATTGAAAAATAGATTAAATGAAAACGTTTTAAAATCCAATAATTGAAACGGCTAAATTCTAAAATATTAAAATTGCAATTTAAAAGCGAAAAGTTTGGAAAAATATAATTATTTTTAGATACATATTTAAAATGAAAACTGAAAAAATTATAAAGCAAAAATTGAAGAAACGAAAGAAGGACAAAACAAAAAAATAATGAAAAATCTAAAATTGGAAGAACGAAAAATTAAAAAATTAAAAAATCGAAATATAGAAATATTCAAAAATTGTAATATTTCACATTGAAAAAAGGAAAAATGAGAAAATCGGAACGTTGAAAAACCGACGAACTGGAAAAAAGGAATATAATAAAGTGAAAAATCTAAAAATTGAAAAATTAAAAATTTTAAAATTGGAAAACAAAAAAATTCTAAATTCGAAAAATTGTAGAATGGTCAAAATTGTAAAGTCGAAAAACTGTAACATTGAAGACTGAAAATTTGAAAAACTAATTTTCCAGAAATTGAAAAATTAAAAACCGAAAAATTGAAAAACTTTTAAAATGCAATAATTGAAAATTATAATTATTCAAAAATTGATGAAACAAAAAATGGAAAAATCGAGAAAATGAAAAATCTAAAATTAAAATAAGGAACAATTTAAAAATTGAAAAATCGAAAATGGAAAAATTGAAAAATTAAAAAATTGAAACATTTCAGGTCGAAAAAAGGAAAAATTAGAAAGTCGGAACGTTGAAAAACCGAAGAACTGAAAAAAAAAAGAATATATAACACCAAAACGAAAAATTAAAGGAAAATATTGAAAAATCTAAAAATTGAAAAATTAAAAATTGTAAACTCCTAAAAATGCAGATCAAAAATTTGCAAAACTTGATAGTTAAAACATCCAAAAGTTGGAAAATTGAAAAACTAAAAAATTTAAAAATGAAAATTTGAAGAGATGCATATCGTAAAATTCAAAAAATAGAAAAAATAAAAAATTGAAACATTTCCAATCGAAAAATTGAAAAAACGAAAATTTAAAAAATAGGAAATATTGTAAAAATAAAGTAAATGAAAAGTGAAACAAAAAATTACATATCGTAAAATTGAAGAAAAAAAAAATGAAAAATTGTAAAATGTCAAATCGAAAACTTGAAATTGAAAAAACAAAATTGTAAAAAAGCAGAAGTCAAAAAATGAAAATTCCAAATCGAAAACCTGCAGTAACGAAAAATTAAAGAATCTGAAAATCGAAAAATTAAAAATTGGAAATTCGAAAAATTTTAAATCGAAAAACTGAAGAAACAAAAAATTATAAAATCGCAACCCTGAAAAATCCAAAGATTGAAAAATAAAGAAAATAAAAAATCGAAGTGGAAAATTGCAATTCGAAACGTAGAATGAAGAACCGAAAAATCTATAAACTTAAAAACTAAAAATAGCAAACCAGAGTAATTTTAAATCCGAAAAATAGAAAATCTAAAATCTGAAAATTTCCCATTGACAAAAAAGCAAAATTATAAATCAGAACATTGAAAAACAGAAAAGTTTAAAAAATAAAGAGAATGGAAAACCGAAACGAAAAACTGCAAATCGAAAAATTGAAGAAATGAAAAACTGAAAAATTAAAATTGAAAAATTGAAAATTGAAAAATTGAAAATTGAAAACTCGTGAAAATGCCAATCGAAAATTTTGCAAAACCTGAAAACTGAAACATAAAAAAGTTGAAAAATCGGAAACTGAAAAATTTAAAAATGAAAATCCGAAGAGAAGCATATTCCAAATTTGAACAACCGGAAAAATGAAAATTTGAAAAATTTCAAATCGAAAAATTGAAGAAACGAAAAATTAAAAAAATTCTAATTGAAAAAACGAAAAGTTATATAATCGGGACATTGAAAGATCGAAATATTCTAAAAATAAAGAAAATAAAGAACTGAAACCAAAAATTTCAAATCGAAAAATTGAAGAAATGGAAATCTGAGAAGTCCAAAAATTGATTAACAAAAAATTGAAAACTGGCGAAATTGCAAATCGAAAAAATTAAAAATTCCCAAGGTTTCGGAAAAATGAAAAATTTTAAAATGAAAACTGTAAGAGATAAATATCGTAAAATTGAAGACCCAAAAAATCGGAAAATTGAAGAGACGAAAAATTAAAGAAAAAAAAATAGAATATTTACAATTCGAAAAGTTGTAAAAATAAAAACAAATAAAAATCCAAATCGAGAATCTTGCAGAAATGAAAAATTAAAAATCTGAAACTCGAAAAATTGAAAATTGAAAAAATGCAGGAACAAAAAATTGAAAAAATTAAAATTGAGGAAATAAAAAATTATAAAGTCGGAACAATGAAAAATCGAAATATTGTAAAAATAAAGAATATAAAAAAACCGAAGCCAAAAATTGCAATTCGTAAAGTTGAGTGAAAAACTGTAAAATCTATAAATTGAAAAGGTAAAAATTGAAAACTAGAGAAATTTTAAATCCAAAAATTAAAAGATCTAAAGTTTAAAAATTTCACATTAAAAAAATTATAAAATCAGAACATTGAAAAACAGAAAAATTTAAAAAATAAGGAGAATGGAAAACCGAAACGAAATTAAAAATTGAAAAATTATAAAATCGAAATATTGAAAATTCCAAAAATTGTATAAAGAAAGAAAATATGAAACTGAAACGAAAAATTGTTAAACGAAAAATTGAAGAAATGAAAATATAAGAAATCTAAACATTGAATAATAAAAAATTGAAAACTCGTGAAAGTACAAATCGGAAAATTGCAAAATCTAAACATTGAAAATTTCAAACGTTGGAAAAATGAAAAATTCGAAAATAAAAACTTGACAAGATCTATACCTTAAAATTGAAGAATCAAAAAAATGAGAAGTTGAAAAATTACATATCGAAAATTTGAAGAAACAACAAATTGAAGAAACGAAAAATTGAGGAAACGGGAAATTGAAGAAACGAAAAATTCCAAATCAAAATTTCAAGAAATGAAAATTTAAGGTATCTGAAAATCGAAAAATTCAAGAAACAGCAAAATGGAAAATTGAACAATTGCAAATGGAAAACTAAGGAAACGAAAAACTGAAAAAAATTAAAATTGAAAAACAAATTTATAAAATCGAAACACCGAAAAATCGAATAAAATTTTAAATTCGAACAATTCAATAGTTAGGAAATTAAAAACCTGCAAAACGTAAACTTGAAAACTCGAAAAATTGCCAATCGGAAAACTGAAAAAACAAAAAAAATTAAAAATTGCAAAAAAATATAATTTTTCAAAGAAGTGGGAAATTCTGCCCAAATAACCCTGGACCAATTTTTTTCAATTGTCTAATGCAGGAACTATTGCGGTCATTCATTTCACATTTCCATCTGTCTGTCGTCATGTAGATTTAATTTAAACAGCTGAATCATTTCGAGTTTGTGGTTGAATTGGTCAGTTTGAAATTGACTTTATGAAAATTGACTTCGTTCGCAGAAAATGAAAAGATGGGGATTTTGTGTAAATGGAAGCGCGCACTGCATTAAAAACCCTGGGCTACATTTACATAGTTAAAATTCGCGTTTCCAGCGTCCATATTCACCCCGAACCAATTAAAGAACACAAAATAAATGCACATTTTAAACCGAATTAATGTTGAAAGCTATTTTTGATCCATAATTGAGAGCATGCAGAGTTTATTTCGCTTTTTAAAAATGCTGTAAAACAAACAAAATTCGCCCTGCGTAAAACAGCATTTTGTGACCTCGCTGTAATTGTTTATTCTCGTTTGAAATTTTGCCATTTCAAAGCAAACTATCCGCCCCGTCCCGATCGATACAATTTTAGGTAAACAAGTTATCGCACTCCCACTCTGCACCTAAAAGCCCCATAACAAAGCGCCAATTAAGGCCGGTATCACTTTCGGCAATATCACAAGCAGAAACTCCCCGCAGAAACGGGCCAAATTAACCGTATTTTCGCTTCGCCACTATGAAAAATTGACCTAATTAACACGTCACAGCAAGATACTCCTGTCATGTCGCTGTAAAAATTTAATTAAGGCGAATTTGCGAGCTTTCGGGCGGCGCCGGGCCCCGGAAAAAATGCCCGGAATTAAACAAAACATAACGGACATAATGTGTTATACAGGCTGTCCCCGGCAGTCCGATACGCACCCGCTGAGCCGCAACCTTTTTAAATTCGCTCTTAATAACGTCTCCGGAGCGGCCATTTTCAAGTTTCGAAACGGCGCGGTTCGTGATAAATGAAACGAGATAAAAGCGGGTCGAGACGATGTTGTCCCCTGCCGGTGACATAATCTTCGAAGCGTCCTGTACACACATGTGCATGTAAGCTTTTGTTCCAGAGCCCATTACGACCCTCCTCGGCGGTCCGGAAATGTACATCAACAAGGGCAGCACAATGAACCTGACCTGTATAGTGAAGCACAGCCCGGAGCCGCCGCCCACGATCTACTGGACGCACAACATGGAAGTGAGTTTTCTTTGGGCTGTTTTTAGAGGGGGAAGTTTGCTTGAGGGGGTGGATAGTGGCGGGTGCGCCGGACCTGCAAATTCGGCCCTTTGGTTGCCCTTCACTTGGAATAATGAGGCTAATTGCTGGGATAGCGGTAGTTGGCGTTGGAATAGTTGCTTGTGGCGATTTGCTCCCGACCAGTCTGCTCTGGAACCAATTAGTACCTAACTAAACTGGAACCAGGTCCGGTTAAATATTTTCAACTTATTGCGATGAAGTTGGCCTTCGCTGCTAGACTAGTAATTTTTTATTTTTTATTTAAGTGACGGTTTTGGAAATTGGTACATAATCTACAATAACAAAATTGTTCCTTTCGAATTTTTTGAGAAAATTGTTCGTTTTCCTGGTCTATACGTCGAAATTTGCATAAATTTATTTCTGCCAAAATTTGGGTCGATTTGGATGATTTTAAAATGTTGTCTAAAAATTCTGGAAGCATCAGATTGTGGCAATTGAAATACCCTTTAAGAGAATAGGAAAAAAAAAGAAAGAAGATGGGAGGGAAATCACGAGTGGATTTTTTTTAACAGCATATGTTCTATTAATTCCTATTCCCACTCTACAAAAGGACATATAATTAACCCCGCCCACCCACCCCGCCTAGATTTCAGTAATTAATTTTATCTAGTCTGAATAAAAGGTGTATCTTATACTCAACAGAAATAAAATCGTTAAAATGAGAATAGTTCAAGTGGGCGGGTTTAGTATCTGCTGAGATAAGACTGATTTTGGTAAATGACATACGTTATAAAAAAATAAAGGGTGGGTGGGCGGGGCTAGTACTTGATAAGAAAAGAGTGACTTTGGCAGATGACATATCCTGTAATAAAATTAGGGTGGGTGGGCGGGGTTAGTATTTCATAAGATAAGATTGACTTGCAAATGACATATCCCGTCTCGATTTCAGTAGTTTATTTTATTAGGTCTCAATGAAAGGTGGATCTTATATTCAATAGAAATAAAATTGTTAGAGGTGCCTTAATAAAAATTCAGTTTTCTCCATTATCTGAGTCCGCATAGGAAAAATTACAACAGATGCGGAGTCCTGGGAACATTTGTGATAATATAGACCACGTTTTGGATCAGTTGGAGCAAGTGATATAAAATATGAAAAAATGGTGGAGGCGCCAGAATAAAAATCCATTTTCCTCATTTGTTTGGGGACCTAGAGCAAAAGTCCGTATAGATTTGTAATTCTAGGAAAATTTCCGAAAAGGTAGACCACCTTTCATTACAATTTGACCGATTTTCAAATTTTATGAAAAAATGGTGGAGGCGCCAGAATAAAAATTTAATTTTATCATTTGTTTGAGGATCTGTTGCTACATTTAGCATATATTCATAATCCTGGGAAAATTTCGGATAAGATAGACCACCTTTCTTTACAATTTAGCCGATTTTCAAATTTTATGAAAAAATGGTGGAGGTGCCGGAATAAAAATTTATTTTCTTTATTTGTTTGAGGATCTATAGCGACAATTAGCATATATTCATAATCCTGGGAAAATTTCGGACAAGGTAGATCACCTTCCAATACAATTTGAGCGATTTTCAAATTTTATGAAAAAATGGTGGATCTGCCAAGATGAAAATCATTTTTCCTCATTTATTTGGGGACCTAGAACAAAAGTCAGTATAGATTTGTAATCCTAGGAAAATTTCCGATAAGATGGACCACCTTTCATTACAATTTGACCGATTTTCGAATTTTATGAAAAAATGTTGGAGGCGCTATAATAAAAATCCATTTTCCTCAATTGTTTGCAGACTTAGAGGAAAGGTCAGTATAGATTTGTAATTCTAAAAAAATTTCCGATAAGGTAGACCACCTTTCCTTACAATTTGGCTGATTTTAAAATTTTATGAAAAAATTGCGGAGGCGCTAGGATAAAAATTTATTTTCTTTATTTGTTTGAGGATCTATAGCGACAATTAGCATATATTCATAATCCTGGGAAAATTTAGGATAAGATAGACCACCTTTCTTTACAATTTGGGCGATTTTTAAATTTTATCAAAAAATGGTGGAGGCGCCGGAATAAAAATTTATTTTCTTCATTTGTTTGAGGATTTATAGCAACAATTAGCATATATTCACAATCCTGGGAAAATTTCGGACAAGGTAGATCATCTTCCAATACAATTTGAGCGATTTTCAAATTTTTTAAAAAAATGGTGGATCCGCCAAGATAAAAATCATTTTTCCTCATTTATTTGGGGACCTAGAACAAAAGTCAGTATAGATTTGTAATTCTAGGAAAATTTCCGATAAGGTAGACTACCTTTTATTACAATTTGACCGATTTTCGAATTTTATGAAAAAATGGTGGAGGCGCCATAATAAAAATCCATTTTCCTCAATTGTTTGCAGACTTAGGGCAAAGGTCAGTATAGATTTGTAATTCTAAGAAAATTTCCGATAAGGTAGACCACCTTTCATTACAATTTGATCGATTTTCAAATTTTATGAAAAAATGGCGGAGGCGCCACGATAAAAATTTATTTTCTTTATTTGTTTGAGGATCTATAGCGACAATTAGCATATATTCATAATCCTGGGAAAATTTAGGATAAGATAGACCACCTTTCTTTACAATTTGGCCGATTTTTAAATTTTATCAAAAAATGGTGGAGGCGCCGGAATAAAAATTTATTTTCTTCATTTGTTTGAGGATTTATAGCAACAATTAGCATATATTCATAATCCTGGAAAAATTTCGGACAAGGTAGATCACCTTCCAATACAATTTGAGCGATTTTCAAATTTTATGAAAAAATGGTGGATCCGCCAAGATAAAAATCATTTTTCCTCATTTATTTGGTGACCTAGAACAAAAGTCAGTATAGATTTGTAATCCTAGGAAAATTTCCGATAAGATGGACCACCTTTCATTACAATTTGACCGATTTTTGAATTTTATGAAAAAATGGTGGAGGCGCCATAATAAAAATCCATTTTCCTCAATTGTTTGCAGACTTAGGGCAAAGGTCAGTATAGATTTGTAATTCTAAGAAAATTTCCGATAAGGTAGACCACCTTTGCTTACAATTTATCCGATTTTCCAATTTTATGAAAAAATGACGGAGGCGCCAGGATAAAAATTTATTTTCTTTATTTGTTTGAGGATCTATAGCGACAATTAGCATATATTCATAATCCTGGGTAAATTTCGGATAAGGTAGACCACCTTTCTTTGCAATTTGGCCGATTTTTAAATTTTATGAAAAAATGGTGGAGGCGCCGGAATAAAAATTTATTTTCTTCATTTGTTTGAGTATTTATAGCAACAATTAGCATATATTCATAACCCTGGAAAAATTTCGGACAAGGTAGATCACCTTCTAATACAATTTGAGCGATTTTCAAATTTTATGAAAAAATGGTGGATCCGCCAAGATAAAAATCATTTTTCCTCATTTATTTGGGGACCTAGAACAAAAGTCAGTATAGATTTGTAATCCTAGGAAAATTTCCGATAAGATGGACCACCTTTCATTACAATTTGACCGATTTTCGAATTTTATGAAAAAATGGTGGATGCGCCAGAATAAAAATCCATTTTCCTCAATTGTTTGCAGACTTAGAGCAAAGGTCAGTATAGATTTGTAATTCTAAGAAAATTTCCGATAAGGTAGACCACCTTTCCTTACAATTTGGCTGATTTTAAAATTTTATGAAAAAATTGCGGAGGCGCTAGGATAAAAATTTATTTTGTCTATTTGTTTGAGGATCTATAGCGACAATTAGCATATACTCGTAATCCTGGGAAAATTTCGGATAAGATAGACCACCTTTCTTTACAATTTGGCCGATTTTTAAATTTTATCAAAAAATGGTGGAGGCGCCGGAATAAAAATTTATTTTCTTCATTTGTTTGAGGATTTATATCAACAATTAGCATATATTTATAATCCTGGAAAAATTTCGGACAAAGTAGATCACCTTTCAATACAATTTGAGCGATTTTCAAATTTTATGAAAAAATGGTGGATGCGCCAGGATAAAAATCATTGTTCCTCATTTATTTGGGGACCTAGAGCAAAAGTCAGAATAGATTTGTAATCCTAGGAAAATTTCCGTTAAGATGGACCACCTTTCACTACAATTTAACCGATTTTCAAATTTTATGAAAAAATGGTGGAGGCGCCAAAATAAAAATTCACTTTTCTCCATTATTTGAGTCCGGATAGGAAAAATTAGGATACATTCGGAATCCTAGAAACATTTGTGATAATATAGACCATGTTTTGAACCAGTTTGAGCGATTGGTATAAAATATGAAAAAATGGTGGAGGCGCCAGAATAAAAAAACATTTTCCATATTAGTTTGAGGACCTAGAGCAAAAATTGCCACGTATTAGTATTCCTAGGAAAATAACGGATGAGATAGTCCGCCTTTCATTACAATTTGAACATTTATCAATAAAATCTATGAAAAAATGGTGGAGGTGCCTTAATAAAAATTCAGTTTTCTCCATTATCTGAATCCGTATAGGAATAATTAGGGTAGATTTGGAATCCTAGAAATATTTCCAATAGTGTAGACCATGTTTCGAACCAGTTTGAGCCATTGTTATAAAATATGAAAAAATGGTGGAGGCGCCAGAATAAAAATCTATTTTCCTGATTTATTTGGGGACCTAGAGCAAAAGTCACTATAGTTTTGTAATCCTAGGAAAATTTTCGATAAGATGCATCATCTTTCATTACAATTTGAGCGATTTTGAAATTTTATGGAAAAATGGATTAGGTGCCAAAATAAAAATTCACTTTTCTCCATTATCTGAGTCCGTATAGGAAAAATTAGGATACATTCGGAATCCTAGAAAGATTTGTGATAATATACATAGACTATGTTTCGAATCAGTTTGAGCGATTGCTATAAAATATGAAAAAATGGTGGAGGCGCCAGAATAAAAATCCATTTTCCATATTAGTTTGAGGACCTAGAGCAAAA